TTATTCCAGTATCATTCTGTGTATACAGAATGCAAAAAATATGCTGTCATGACCTAAATGCAATACAGTACAATGTGAAATGTTGGTCAGTGATCTTCTGTTGTACAGTGTGGTATAAACAAAGATGCATACTATACTCAAGTTTGATCATTTTTAGACTGAACACCACTTGGTTAATAACTCAAAACTCAAAATTTACGAATAGTCAGTGAAGCATGAAAAAATTCATCAAAACCCTTTTTTGTAAAAAGGATGTAATACTTAGCAAAATGAGTATAGGTATAGCAGTAAATATACAGGATACAAAAAATACTATGATTCTGAACTAAGCCATAAAATGTGAAATGTAGGTCACAGTGATCATCTAGTTTGATTATTATAGAGCAGTTTGAGGAGAAAAAAAAACCTTCAAAAAACAAAATTACCTAAAGTTAGTGAACCTTGAGATACAGATCATAAAATACACACAAGCTAACCTAACCAAAATTGTACAGATAGTGAGCATGTATGTCTGTTAGACTGCTGGAGGTAGGTACTAAAAAATACAATCCAAGAAGAAGGACTAATTGAGGCATACATCAGTATACGCTATTATATTCAGACAAATACTAATGCTGAACATTAGCGCTCCCTGATTTTCTTGCTGTGAGCTATAACAATTCAATTTGGTCCCCACTTACTTTCTGAAAAAAAAAGTTCCACAACTCTGCATATTCTCACCTGCCTTCCTCTCAGTCTGTGATAACGAGCTATTGCATCACTAATGGTGTACACACGGACATGACCCATTGGAGCTGACCACTTGGGTATGGAAAACATCGACAGAACATAAAACTTTTCTCGATCACCAGCCTAAAATTTAATAAAATTGATCTTAATCTAAATTCAGTGATAAAGTTAAACATGATTTTTTCATGCAGTATGCCTTACATGAAATAGCAAATTTTTAAGTAAATTAGTTTTTCCGAGAATACTTACAGAAATCACTTTACATTTGGAATATTAGCCTGCTACCTTGTGAATCCAGCCATACTAAAGATGAAAAACATCCCATCCAAATGTTTGAGAGACAAGGGCAGTAACTCTTGCAAATTACCTCCCCTCATACTATCGGATGCTGCAGTCTTTAGCTGAGCAAGACACAAATGTGGATGCTTGCATGCTTGCATATCTGGATGTTGGAAGAGTTTTTAATTAATGTGACTGGGTAAGTATTCTCAAAGAAAGATAATTTTTTTAAAAATTTGCTTTCTCCCTGAATATGTTCCCCAATCACATTACATAGGAGATATGTAATAGGAGGGGATGCTGAGCATCCAGCCTCTACCTTTGTATCCTTCAAGGGGATGAATGGTTGGATTCCCCATATGAAAGTTAACCCTAATTACACAAGCAACACAGCTTGGGATCCTTTGATCTAGGACTCTATATGGTTGAAGGTTGAAATCTTCACACCTACAAATATTTTCAATAGTGAATCCAGCGAAGCTAACAGGCTTGTTTGACAGATCTAGTTGGGTTTGATGGCTGTTTGTGCTGCTGCCACCGGCCCTACAGATCCACATTTGTCTTTGTGGCGCTGAATCTGAGATAAAAACTTGAGAAGTAGATTCTGCATGCCAGCCAACAGCTTCAATAAATCTCGGATCAAAATATTGCAATTGAAAGCAAGGCTCATGGAAATGGCTCTAATCACATGAGCTATAATCCCCCATAAGGCAACTCTTATCTTGAGACAGTATGCCCAGCATATAACCCACTTCAGCCACAAAGCAAAACCTTGAGGGGCAATGTCTTGTTTTCCAGCCTTGACCGAGAGGAAAGGCATTTGGACATACTACGACTTGTCTGTTTGTCTCAAGTAGTGCTTGAGGGTGCAGACAGGATCTTTCATGGCTGCCATACTTAACTTGTCTATAGAAGATAGAGGATGAATGACATGTTGGTCACCTATGGACTACCAATTATTGGCAACGAAGCTTGGTTGTGTAAGGTGAATTACCAAACCATCCAAAGTGAACTGAAGATAGTTTGAGTTGACTCCTACATGCTAAAGCTATCAAGAAGCATGTCTTGTATGAAAAAACTTTATTTGAAGCAGAGTGAGAGGTTCAAACTTGTTTGAGTTAGCCAAGTTAAACCCAAGACAAATTCCATTTTGGAAATAATGTTATGGATTTTGGTCGCTGGATCAAAATTGTCTAACAGATTTGAGAGAGAGCTTTATCAGCGCTGTTCCATTTAAACATAGATGGTACCTAGGAAAGGGCCGTTTTATTTTAAAATATAGGCCAGAGTACTTTGATTTCAAAGAGTTTATATTAAAATGATATGAAAATTCAAAATTGCATCTTTTAGTGAGTATCCCACATCAAAAGTGCCTTCCCTTGGTCACAGGTATATTTCACTGGAACAGCTCTCATGTCCAATGTCATATCACCAATGATGTTGGAATGTGTTTCATATTATAGTTCTTTAAGAGTGCAACTGGATCTTGCATGGCTGGCTGCTGTCTCAACCTGGTTATGGAAGATAGTGTGCAGGGATGCCTGTTTGACTATCAAACAAACAGTAACCTGTTCTCTGTTACGAAGCCCGATGGTATCATGAGATGACTACCACCAACCCTCCAATCGGAACTGAAGGAATTCAGGTGAACATAATGGGGATGCACCCATCTTACTATGGATACGGAAGCTAAAGCTATCAGTAAACCAGTCTGTATGACAGCGAGTTTAGTAATGTGTAGACTATAAGTTCAAATGGATCAATCAAGCCACATAAAAAAACCAGATTGGATCCATTTGGAGACAAAAAAGGTATACTAGTCAAAGAGATCAATAATGTATAAAAGATCTGATAAGTTTCTATCCAACCCAAACATGTTGCAATGATGCTGGAATATGCCCAATATGTGGCAGTAGACTTTGGTAGTGATTGGAGTCCAACTCTTACTCCTCCAAGAACAGAGCCAGAGAAAGTCGGTCAGTAGAGGGATAGAGTTACACAGATGAGTGATATAGTGGTTACTCTTAAGATTTTCTTCACAAATGAAGGTTTGAATTGTCTGACTCACAAAGCCATCCTGGTAAGAGCCAAGCATGTAAAAGAAGAGGGCAGTTGATTCGTTGGCCAGAATCTTCCTGGGTGTATTATATTAGAAAAAGTATATTGGTTATACAGGACTAGACCCCACGAAGAAGGTTTATCATAATCAAATTGCATTTCTGACCCACAACTTTAACACCATAGAGGCCCACAACCCCTCCTAAATGGTTGACAGTGCATCCCATGACCTAAGAGGAGGGGCAGTACCTTTGCTGCCTCCCTCCAATCTCCCTCTAGTCTTTATCTAGAGCAACAGGGACCTGAACAGGGCAATCCCAGCATTGCCTCCCAAGTATAAGTGTTTGGTAAGTCCGTTTCGTCCTCCTCAAGGAGATCGTCCAATTCTTTGAGCAGTGGCATGGGTGGGGGTCATTCAGAAGTAGCCAACACACAAAAGAAGACACTGTCCTTGATAGCAGCTGGAAAGCTAAAATCAGTCCATTCTGTGGTGGATTTGATGGAGTTCTGATGTATGCACTTAGGCCTAACGGGTCTACTTAAAAAACTAGAAGAGACATACCAGGTGGTATAGACTCAATTCCATTATAAATGGAAAGATGGGTTTGTTGGTATTCATCATCCTCACTGTGCGCAGAGGTCCTCATCCAGCTCGATTTCAATCTTGACACAAATCCAAAAAAGTGCCCTTGACAACTCCGCTTGATCGCTTGATCTTATGTAAAACACAAGCTATAATTGAAAAATAACCCACAAGTAATCTAATATCGGCATCGCCACCCTTTTTTCAGCACTGCTTGCTGGTGTCATTGTGTCAGGTAAGCCTGAATTGACTTGGCTCAACAGTTCTGAAATATATTAGATCCAATGGATCTGGTGTGAATGGGTGATGGCAGTATGCAAACTGTCCAGTAATTGCCAGTACTGGCCACACCAAAGGCATGTTGCATGGACAGATTTTTCACTTAAATCTCAGGTATGGTAATTATAAGAAACTGACGGGTGATAAAGGTTCACTATGATCCCCATATGAACAATTTGGCTGGAAAGTCAGTGTAGGATGAACTGCTGCTCACTATTGGTGGTAATGTCATAACAAATGGTTTCAGTATGGCAGTATTATTATTGTGGCTCCAAAAGAGCTCTTATTAACCCCATTCACCTGGATTTACATGCCTGAATGCCATGATCGGACATGCGGGAGGCTTATGCCACCTGGACTGCCTAAAATGGGAATATTTCCCAATGTGTCAGAATCGACAACTATGAACCACGGGGGGCCCCCGAGTGGCCTAGTGGTCTAAAGCGATGTCCGTTACAGATCACTGCCATCTTACCACTGTCTGCGTGTGTTCAGTCTAAGATTCGTCGAATGTGGATATGTAAGAAAGCTTGCCAGTAGCTTTTTGTGGGTCGGTGGTTCTTTCCGGTGATTTCCCGGTTTCTTCCGCCCCCCTTAATACTGGCCGCCATGTATAGCCTTTTGTGTGCTGAAAAATGATGATAAGCCCCACAACGACAACAACAACTATGAACCACAAGATGTCTCTCTTGCTTTATTCCATCTTTCTTTCCCTTCAATGCTGAACTGGATGATCACTGTACACATGCATATCATGTTGCAATAAAAATTCCTCCTGAAATGACACAAGATGGAGGGAAAAAAAAAGCATAGATTCGCAATCAGAATGTGATGGGATGTGAATATAATTTTTAACGTAGCTTTCACAATTTTTCAGTCATATTGCTATGATATCTGCAGTGTGGCAGTTTATAGTGATGTCTAGCACTGGGCATCATGCTGCAGACATGTAGCATAATATCCCACCAAGTCACATTATCCTGACCAGCAGGCCGACCAGTCCTAACACTAACCTCTTAATGTTGAACACCAAGCGAGACAGCTATTAGTACCATTTTTAAAGTCTTTGGTATGACTCGACCAGGGATCGAACCCACAACCTCCTGCATCTGAGGCGGACATACTAACCACTAAGCCACCGGAGCAGTTAATTAGAATGTGACTAACCAGCTATAGTATAAATTATCTAACTTTGCAGCCCAGACTGCCAATGGCTACATATAATAGACACTGTATTTCAGAAATACTGTACACACAATATAACAAAGCAGGGGTCATGGCGGGACTTCCATGATTTGAAATTGGATATAGATCATTTAAATTAATATGCTGCAGAAATGACACAAAAGACACAAGCTTAAGCAGAAACCAGTAATGGATTGAAATTAATAGGTTGCTAAAAACACTGCCATAACTAAAAGACCCATTACCATGTATCATAAATGTATTGAGCTTATGCACACTGCATAGTTAATAAAGAAGAACAATGTATACTACTACAAACAGAACCAGAGTCATGGTTGACTTCCGTGCTCTCACACAAAAGACACAATGAAGCAAAACTAGTACATGTTAAAGTTACTATGTCATTTAAAACAAAAGAGTGTCATAAATACATGTCATCGATGCTGCACAACAGAAACAATGTATACATAATAAAAAAAAGGAGTAGATTTCCATGTTCTGGAGTTGCATATAGAACATTTAATTCATATTTTGCTGAAATGACACAAGAAACAAAAACTAAAGCAGAAACAGTTTATTGTCTTTAGTAGGTCTGGATTTGTGATGTAGCAGGCTAATATTCTCTAACATAATGTGATTGGGGAACATATTCAAAGGAGAATTTTATGATCAATATGACTTACACTGTATTATTTACTCAAAGATTCTGTACATGAAGAATAGACCAGCTTTTAAAACCATACCATTGCACTCTGGTATTTATCTTATCTGGTTACTATACAAATCTGGTTTATGGACCGTTTTTTTTCAGTGTTTGATTTAATATCTGAATTAAGTTATATTCTAAACTAATAACCTCTATCATTGCATTCTGTTATGAACATAATTAGGTATGCTGATATCAACTGTCCACTGCTCATACCATCACTGACCAAAATATCCACATGTTAAAAAATAATTACTTTTATGTATGTCCCAATATATGCTGTACTGTATTACTGAAAATGATAAATTTCCTTAATACTGTTTGGAAAATTAATATCTTTATTTTAACAATTTAGTTTATTGGTAAAAAGGATGCATAATATCATTGGGCTGGCAATAAGAACACTTACATGATCCTGTTGATGTTCTTTTACAAAGAAAGAAGTTACCTTTCTATTCTCTGTTTTTCTTTTTCTTTGTAAAATTTTGACAGATTATTCATCATGTACTTGTAGTGCCATTGTTGAAAAAGTCTTGGTTGAAACTTAGTCTATGAACATGGCCCAGTTCTTACATCAATGTTGTTTATAAGATAAAAAGGTCTTTGACAACAAAACATGTCACCAAAAATGTATACTCCAATTCATTTTATCTTACTTTTGAAAATATGAGAGACACCTCATATTTTCCTTCAAAATAGCTTGATGCTATCTCAGCAAAAAGACTGTAAATATGGTGATCATTGCGACTGAGCCAAAATACTTTGACGTGTTCATGATTTAAATGTCATTATCTGAACTCCAATTAATAGATATGAAGACCAAACTGACATCCATGGGAGAAAAAGACTTTGAAATAAAACTGAAACCATGGTAAATAGTTTTAGAGATCTTTACCACTCTATCAGAAATAAACTTTTTAAAAGTGTTTTCGGATTATTTTATGTAGCTTAACAGTTAAGAATCCTATCACTGCTATGTCTGCAGTGTGGCAGTTTATAGTGATGTCTAGCACAGAAACAGCAGACATGTGGCATCATGTCCCACCCAATCACATTATCCTGACACCAGGCCTACCAGTCCCAACACTAACCTTTAAATGCTGAGCACCAAGTGGGGCAGCTACTTGTACCATTTTTATATCTTTGGGATGACTCAGCCAGGTTAAGAAATAAATGTAAACCCAGTTTATAGGGGAGGAGAAAACAAAGATAATAATCTACATACATATTTAAATACTTGACATCACAAAAATTAATCCACCTCAATAAGAATAGGATCTGATGTACAAGAGTTTTTCCATCTCATTTGTATGATTTCCATGAATATGAAGCTTGCAACCACACGTCAGCTTAACATGATAAATATAATAAAAGGCTACAAGCACCTGTCAGTTTGATGTGGTAAATATAAAAATAGGCTGCAACCACATGTCAGCTTAACATGATAAATATAATAAAGGCTACAAGCACCTGTCAGTTTTATGTGGTAAATATGTTAGTTGATGTGGTAAATATAAATAGGGTGCAAAACCCCATGTCAGCTTCATGTGATAAATATAAAAAAAGACTGTCAGCTTTATGCACTAACGATAAATATTGATTGTACAGTTACAATTATTTCTGCCAGATATCTAAATATTTTAAAGCTTGATTTTACTTTGCGATTAACTTTAACATGTTCACAACTTGCTTGTCTAGAAATATGCTTGATCTCAAGTCAAGAAGAATGTCAGCTCTTTTTATTACCAATGCCTTTAATTGTTACTAGACTTCTTCCTTACCTCAAGTGCAAGTCATCTACAAAGTTATATCAAGGCAGATTATGGAGAACTCAAATTATTCCGCAGAATGAAACTGGCAACAGATGGATTGATGGACTGATGGAAAGACAACATAGTATGCTTCACCCTACTACAGGAACATAAAAATTGAGCCACCTAGTTTTAGCTTCGAAACTTCAAAAAAAGAAATTTGTAGATGCCTATGATTTTATTAAATCTATCTCTGACATAACACTAAAGATTCCTTTCAGTAATATTACATACAGTATTGTGAAAAGACCTAAAATTATAATAAAGGAGATAATTTGAATTTCAAATTAAATTATATTAAACTCAAATTAGATCAATGTACTGTAATTGAATTTGTTCTTTGACTAACCTCGAAGGTGATGCTGTACAGCCTGTGATCTTTGGCCTCCAATACTCTTCAATTTCTCTCTTAACTTTGGATCTAAGTCTTTCTCCTGTGGAAAATAAAGTTTCAAAATTAACAGTATGCGAAACCCTGTTCATCTGAATTTCTATTATGGAGAAGAGATGATAAATCAGCAGTACCTTTCATTGATTTAATGAATAGCATAAATTTAAAGACCCAGTAAGCTTTGATTCTTCTGTGGAAACCTTAAAACTACTTTGCCAAAACAGGAGTTTATTAATCAAACCCGGTTATCTCGCTTATGTCGGGGGTGTAAAAAAATTGTTGATATAACCAGGTCCGATATATCCGGATTCATAAAAACATTATTTTTTCAGATGTCCTTTACCATTACTCCCATCTCTTGTTCTTGTGTTTTAACTGGAATCCCCTCTCACTGCATGTTACAATAAAATGCAAAATTGATTGATTGATAATAAAATGAAAGGAACTAAGCTGGTGTTGTCATTATTTATTCCCTTTTTTATCACATGAACAATTTATTAAAGAAAAATATGAACTCACTGTATCACATGTAGGGTATGCATTCATCCTCTCGCGAGCATCACTTATGACATATAAAACAACGCATTTTTATAAATGATGAAAAATCTGAACAACAAATCGTGTTTAGCTGTACTCGGAGGTTTGAATATTTTATCATGACTGAAAAATGGATACAAGAAAATCACAAACGAGAGAGTCAGAAACATCACCGGAACACTTTCAGACACCCACCATTCATGCATAACATGGTGTTTAGTTGTAAAATAACCAGATTGTATTATAAATAAGTTAATATTACAGTATCTTGCAAATAAAGATCAATACTTGTTTCTGAAAATACATGTACTGTGAGTGCAAATGACAATCCTTTCGCTAGCATGGGTTACAAAGAGTATTATTAAAGCAAGAGGATGTTGTGTATACTACTTACCCTGCACGCATCAATGCGAGTGTGTAACAATTATGATTCTAGATGACAAACAAAGAGATGCCCGGGTAGTGAATAAACATATCCGGTTGCTAGCATAAAACTCATTCTTTGAACTTACCAGCTGGATATCAAATATAAGAATTATTTAATTGCAAAGCAAACCAGACCTGGAAACTTACTTTGGATTCTTTTAAGTGTGCCAATTCTTTTATTCTTCTTGGTTTTTCTTTTAGCCAAAATGTGGTTCCCTTTTACAGGTATTCACAGAAATTTTGAAAATAAATTAAAACAATGGTAGCCAATTTTTTTTCCAGACGGAAAGAAGAGATATTACAAATAAGAAAACAAAACAAAATTAAGAGCTCAAGTCTGAAAACTAAATTATGGGGCATCAACTGCCATTGTATAGAAGCCAAGTGCCTGAGATTATCCATTCCCATGCTTATATAGAAGCGTATATATAGGGTGATATTCTGCCTAGTAATAAATTTCATCTATACTCATTGTTACTATCAACAGAAGTGTAATGATTTTTGATGGTGCTGAAGAAAATAACTGTAATTGTCAATCTCAAATGCGCAGCATGCTAGATCCAATGAAAGTTTGGTAGAACATGTGTATCAATGCCACAAAATATCATTAACATCTTGCAGATGTCCAGGCTCAATTTAGGCATGTGGTGTGTATCCTTGTTTCAGCCTCAGTAAGCACCACATCATCATAGTCAATATGATTATTTTTTTTTAGTTCAAGGTCATCATTGGTAGAGGCATCACTGATCATGAAAAGTAATAAATATTGGACAATAATGATACCCTTTATTGACAAAGGCACTTCATAAAATCTTGAGTATATCATGATATGACAGATGGTCTGCCACCAATGCAATCACATATAACTGATCCCACATTAACCAGTTATGATGTTCATTAGTGCCAGCTGACATGCCTCCATGACTGATATGAAAAGCATGTTCCTTAGTGCCAGTTGATATACCTTCATGACAGATATGAACAGCATGTTCATCAGTGCCAGTTGACATGCCACCATGACAGTTATGAAAAGCTTGTTCATAAGTGCCAATTGACATGCCAGAATGACTGATATGAAAAGCATGTTCA